AAAAAAAAACACGAATTTTAATCTCAGGCATCAGAGAGGTCGGGCTACTAGTATATATATATAATCTAATTAGGTAGAAAGTAGTTTAATAAGTCTTCCCTCCCACTTTCTTTTTTTCTTAGAATTTAGAATTTTTCAGTTCAAAACTTCAGCTATCAGACGCTAATATGTATTAACGATATATATATTTCATTGACTAGAGAGGAGTACCTCCTCCACCAACCATACAAATTTTTTTTTTTGAGAGGGGATTTAAATCCTTGACCTCAAGAAGGCAAAACTATCACAAGGTAAGGAGTACTATTAAACCAAATGTCCATCGGTAGCAACCATATAGATAGATAACTACAATTTACATCAAAATGAGCAAAATAGTTAGCAACTTCATTACCTCCTCTACGAATCCAAGAAACTGTGAAAGACTAGAAAGAGGAACCATAAACCTGAATCTTCTCCATAAAATTTCCTATCTCTGACAAAGTCGACTGAGTCTTCTAAATAGCATCAGTAACTACTTTGGAGTCACCTTCTAAAACAATCCTCCTAAAACCGAGTTCATGGCCAAGACGAACTGCAGTGAAAGCAGCCCAAGCTTCAACGTTATTAGCACTTAGTTGTCCAACTAAGTTAAGACTCAGGCCTGCTAAAAAATGTCCATGATTCCGCAGCACCACTCCCATGCCTGAGCATCCACAGGAACTAAAGACTGCCGCATTACAAAAACCCATTGGAGGAGCAGACCATTTGACTACTGATGGACGACCAACTTGAACACCAACAGCCAAACCTTGATCTTGTATGCGTTGGAATTGTTGAAGATAATCCTTAGAAAATTCAACAATTTCAAATGGATCTCTGTAGCACTCCTCCACTCTTGCTTTTCCTATTAAACCAAACAGCCAATGCAATGACAACCACAAAAGCAAACTGTTCAGCCTGTAAATGTTCAGAGATATAAACCACCATTCTTGAACACTTGAGAAAGAGCTTTGAGAGAAATGTAAGCCAGCTACTTCCCAAACAGCAATTGCAAAAGGACACATTAAAAATAAATGGAAAGAGGACTCATTCGATTCACCACACAAATAACACTCATTAAGAACATGAACTCTTTTCCGTTGCAAGTTGCATAAGATAGGTAGAATATCAATAAACAGCCTCCATGCAAAATTCTTAATCTTGTTAGGTACCTTTAGAGACCAAATAAATATCCTAGGCCAGTTATCACCCTCCCTGCTAGTAAAACCAGAATGGTGCTGTACACCAACCAAATTTTGTTCAATAGCAAGGTGTATGCACTACGTACGGAGAAAGGGCCAGAATTCGTATAATGCCACCGCAGAGGATGACAGAGAGGGATAGAAATGATATCATTTAACTTCAAAATCCAGAAAATGGTGATGAAGTGCTTCAACATTCCTACTGTGAGTCTCAGGATCAATAAAAAAACTCACTTTCGTGTCATCATCAATATCTGACAAAGGACTGCTAACTCTGAAAGTATATGGTTTAGGAATCCACCTATCGAGTTGACCCTTTATATTTTGTCCATTGCCAATTCGCCACCGCAAACCTACTTCATCCACGTCTTGATGCTAAAATACTTCCACAAAAATAAGAAGGGTTAGAACCAAGGTTCCCATCCACCAAAGAAGAAGGAGGGAAATATTTAGAGAACGAATGAATTCTGAGGAGCCTACAACACTGCTTCGCCAATAAAGCAACATTAAAAACCTCAATATCTCTTAAGCCCATCCTATCTTCATATTCCGTTTGGTAAGGAGGATGAAAAGTAGGTAGAGTAGAAAGTAGGAGAGATACACTTTCTATTTTTCAACGATGAAAAGTAGGAAAGATACTTTTTTTTTGTGCTAGCTAAGATTAGATGTGACAATTAAGTCGTGTCATGTCAGATTCATGTTGAGTAATTATGATTTTATGTCAAATATTAGTCAAACCTAACTTAACTCAATTAACTAATTGTGTTGTGTTGAGTTATGAGTTGACATGTTTATTTTCGTATTAAATTCGAGGTGTGTCATCGTGTTGAGTCGAAAATTTTCACCTTTAGTTAAAATGGAAAAAAAAAAATTTAATTTAATTTAATTTTTTTAAATTTTTTAATTTATTTTTAAAATTTTAATTTATTTTTAAATTTTATATATATATAAGATATATTTCAAAACAAATAATTAATTTTTCATCCACTTTCCTTCCGATTTTGGTGAGTTGAAAGAAAAGTTAATCCATATATTTTTCTATTATTCCTACTTTTCTTCCTTACCAAATACGATGTTTTATTTATTCCTCCAACTTTTCATCCTTTCAATTTTTCATCCTCCCACTTTTTCATCGTACCAAACGGAGCATTAAACTTAGATAAACACAACTTTTTCCAAGAAATTCAATGAATTTTCTTATCTTCATCCATTTGACCCCACAAAAAATTAGACATCATACTACCAAGGGCGTCCCAAAACTATTTGAGACCTAAAACGACTATTACAAATGATTCTTTTTATTTTTAATATTAATAAATTTTTATTCAAAATTTATTTTTTCAGATTAAAAATAGTCTAATCTTTATTGTGATAATCGTTCTTAGAAGATTTCATCAATTTTAATTTTAAACAATCATAATCTATTGATTTTAATTTTTATAGTTTAATAAAAAAAATTGGTTTATTTTTCATAATAGAAATAAAAAAAAATTATAACACAAAAAATAAAAAAAAGAATTTGTATTTACTAGATAGTGAGTAAGAGAGAGGACATTAGTTTACTAGAGAGCAAGAGAATGGATACAATTTTCAACAAAAATATTTTATTACCCAAAAAATTAATATAATTATTTATTTAACTTCTCACATAATAAAATTAAAAAAATTAAAAAAACACGAATAATAATCCTGTGTGAGGATGGACTACTAGTATATATATAAAACAAACAATTTAAAAGGGAAAGAACTTGAGAAATCTTCTCTCGCAATTTCCTAAATTCTTAGAATTTAAAATTGAAAGTTGTTTCAAATCAAACGATGACATGTGTCATTAGTAATTACCTCTCAATTCCCTTACAACCAATTACTATTTTTCAAATTTATTAAAAAAAATATTTTTTACCAGCCAAAGATTTCCTACAATTATTTATTTAACTTCTCAAGTGATAAAACAAAAGAAGAAAAGAGTTAAAAATAAATAAAAAAGAGAGGCTATTTATAATACCGTGCATCGCACGAAGCAGACCACCGCTAGTTATTCATAAATTAGAGGCTTTATAGCCTAAGTTAAAGTCTAGATCTAAGTTCATCATACTGGAATCCAATTCCATCTTTCCAAAGCACTCCTCGTAATGCAAGCATCTGTCTGACTCGAAAACAACAATATAAACAATATAAAAAAGTTGATAAACAAGTTTAAGCTAAAATAATATCCTATCTAACCATCCATACATAATATTTGATCACTCATTTGATATTAAAAACCCAGAAAACAAGAGGATATGCCGTAGACGTAGTAGCTCTAGGTTAGTATATACTTTTACACGATTTGCACAGCATATTAACCAAGTCCTGTTAAAAAAAAAATTAATTAATGAGCAGCCATGTTGTAGGCTCTAGGAACATGACAAAAACTTAAATTTAAGTTCTTTGCTAGAACCAAGAACTGCTATTTCCCACGGGGCCACTCCTGTTGAGCTGAGCAGGATGACTTCTTTATTCTCACTTTCTATGGTGGCATTTTCCAATTGCAATGTTGTGGCCTTTAAACATGCATCCCTTACAGCAATAGCTTCAGAATATCTGCTGCATATAGCTTAGATTCTCTTTCCCCGGCCTTCAATTAGCCATCCCAACTTGTCTCTGACGATAATTCCAACAGCCCCTTGGTTTTTGACGTAATTAAAAGCACCATCACAGTTAATTTTAAGCTTCCCGGTATCAGGAGGTTGCCATTGTGGGGATGGAGACACCGTTGCTTGTGATGCTCTTTTTTAATTATTCTTAATCCATATATATAGAGCAGAATTCCTCCTAAAAGGTTGGGACCTTTGAGGTCGAAGATAGTTTCGTTCCGTGATTTCTAAATCATCCAACCAACTGTTGGTGCTCTGCTGATCACGTTCCTCGCCAATTGCCTTCCTGCAGATTTTCTATGAGGGAGGAGGTCCATTGCTTGATTGTTGGGAAAGGATACTTGATTGCCCTGTAGCCAAGATCTATTCCAAACCAGACTGGTTGGGTCCATTCGCATGTAAATAGCATGTGCTCCACTGCTTACACGTCTTGCTTGCACACTTGACAAATTGGGGTTGAGACGCTTTTCCTTCTAAAAAGATTTTCCTGTATTGCCAAGGCATTATCACATACTTTCCACCAGAAATGCTTTATCTTGGGACTGACTTTAAGATTCCAAATAATTTTCCACAAGTTTGAGTGGACCTGGGAAGAAGAGCGACCACGGGTTGACTTGTGGCTTTGGCTATGATTTTTTGCCATTGCATAGCCTGACTTGACCGTAGAGGTTCTGTTCATGTTGGGGTACCACATCCTTCTGTCATCTCCAGTTTTTGAAAATGGGAATGGCCATTGTAGACATTAAAAATTTAATGTCTACAGCCATGATAGCTTTCCTTTCTTGTTCCGTAACCAACTCTCTGAGCAGATTTTCGTTCCACTCTCTGGTGCCTTGATTAATCACCTCTTGGACCAAGTCGATGTTGCAGTTTGCGGTTTGGCTGATAAGATTTTGAATTGTGGGATCGAGGGAATCCATTTGTCATCCCAACAAGTCAATCACTAATAATGGGCATGGAGTCAAATTTCTACCAACCACCACAATTGCATGCTAAATATAGTAACCAATGTGGGAATTTGTAAGGCTTATCTACATCTTTGTATTTGATACACCACAAAACCAGACTTCAGGGGACAGAACCTTCCAACAAAATCAATTAGAGACGGAGCCCCTCCATACTTCTCCTCAAGTACAGCATTGCTTCAAGCAAGCCAGAACCCATCGGCTATGTCTCGGTTGATCCATGAATGATCTGCCTAATACAAAATGAAAACCATGGGATCTTAAAATCATCAAACAAGCAAAAGAGGAACATTATAATGTCCATACTGAGGAACAAAATTCTCAACATATAAATGTGGGCATAGTGAAATCAAGCCCAGAAAGCACCAGAGCAGTTTAGTAACTAAATTGCATTCACAAGAACTTGAACTATTGAATAAGCCAAATAATAACACATATCCATAGCACTATATATAAAGGGATTCAGTGACATCAAGCTCATGAAGCACTATAGCGAATTTGGCAAAACTTTGGCAACTAAATAAGATTGTAGACAGTGAGAATCATACTTACATTCATTGTAGAATTCAACCTGAAAAGGCATTTTTCTACAAGTACACACTTGTTAAGCTTGTCCAATTGGATAAACGATCTTACTGCAGCTTTGGGTTGACCATTTATCTGGAAATGTAAACAAGAAAGCAATTATTATCAGCTACGATAGTATGAAGATTAAAACTTTGTAAGGGACATGTCACATGTTGCAGCACCTAGGTGGTTGTAAAATACAATAATAAACATAGGCAGGCACGACTGCAATGTCAAACATTAAGATTAAAATTATCTGTCACCACCTTCATATAAGATGCATTTCCTAGTCCAGAAACAAAAGTTTTTTGTCCATGTAAGGAATTTTCTTGCAGTTGTTATCATAACAAGCTATGGGTACTTATGTGGCCTAGCATCCGAGGGGAGATGTCATCCTGAAGGGAAAAAAGGGGGAAACGAATTGGAAAGGTTGGAGAATCATAGAAGACTTAGTCTTCGAATTACTGAGAGAAACTGGAGATCAGAAATAACACAGGAAGTTTTCTTAAGAAGACAAAGACTCGGCGGGATCTTTCTAACCACGCGTGTTGTGCAGAGACGACCCCGAGTCACCTCGACGAAGAGGATTTGGAAGATCTAAGGGAGGGATATTCCTTCCCGGAGTCTGTGTTACTCCATTATTTTTTTATTTGTGCTTTAGCTGGATTCCTGTCCACCTTTCTTGCACTTCTTCCTGAAAATTATTGTCTCTTATCAAACAATAAACAGCTCCCGAGTAAAAAATGGGCAACATCAAGATTCCTGAGACAATTTAAGGTTCCAAGAAGTGGAAACAATTAAAACAGCAGCAGAGAAGGAAATGGAACCATTAAGTCTTCAAAGTGAAATCAAGCAAGACACCATCTTTAAAGGGGCGATCTCCCACCACAAATCTTACCAAAAGGGATCCTAAATCAATAACAGCCCCCCCATATCATGGAGAGTTGGACCCACAGAATAACCAAAAGAAGGACAGGTAAACTAGTGTAGTATTCCAATGGCCTTCAATAGTCTCCCCTAGGCACATCAGCATCCCAACCATTATCCCAAGAAACGGTTACATCCTAGCATATTCTATTTTCAGAACCTTCAAGAAAGATGGCTCCTTAAGGCTAGAAAGCTTCATGAATCAAATTCCTGACAAACGCTTCATGAATCATAAATTCAATTTTTATAATAGAAATGTGATGGCTGAAAAAGGTTCACCAAATCAATGATTGCCCAAAAAAAGCTGACAAAAAAGCAACTAACATTTCATTTATGGTTTAGATACAACCTATGCAATTGTACTATTGCAGTTTCCAAGATCTAAATTTACCATCTTAAATTGACAAACTACAGTAAATTATTTTTTGGCAGAAGTCAACAAACCTTGTCCACAATTGGAGCCAATGGCTCTTCACAGCCCTCGCTTTTTGATTTAAGCTTAATCTCGTCATTGTTCTCCTGCGCTTGAATAAAAAATAGATGAGAGGTGCAATTCATACATTCCTGGGATGACCTGTTTTTTTGAGTCGGCCTTCCGCGCTGGCCTCCAATTTCTTGTTCATCCCTTTATCCGAAACATTCTAGCTTTCTACAATGTCTGCCCAACTCGGCTATCTCCGAACGGCTGGGGTCTATTGGTCAGCTTCCTTAAGCACTGGGTTAAGAGTGAAAATGACTCTCCACTCACAACTCGCAAATTCGCCTCCATTTTTTAGCTTAAGTCTTCTCCTTCGTTGGGCTTCCTATATTTTGCTAAGAGGGTGAAGGCGAAGAGTCTGTTTTTTGGGCTCCCGTCTTCTAACATGGGGTGGAAGCCACAAAGAAGGTGATTCCCAGAACTTATCAGAAGTACCTAGCGATGTCCCTCGCATTCCTCGGTCCTGGGGAGTTCCAATGAACACTCGTAAACCTAATAACTTACTATGCTTTTTCTTATATCTGTTAGTAAAATCTCTTATTTGACTCGTCATTCTAACTTGTGATTTGGTCCACAAGCTTCTGACCGGTTCTTGATGTTGTAGAAGTTGTAAGATGGGCAAGGCAAAAGCTTCTGGCTTGAAATCTTTCTTGGACCTTGTAACTAAGGAGAACCTTGCCAAATACGAACTTGGGCCCCCCATCGACGCACATTCTGCTCACATTCTTGACCCCTTGTCTGCCGACCTGCATGAGCAGATGGATCCATAACTTATTATAACAAACTTTGCCACTCTATCACTTACAATACCCTATCGCGTATTTAAGTCGTCTACAAAGAATTCTACCCGCCGCTTGGTGAAAATTGTACTTTAAGGCGGCCCGCATGACTAGGTTTTTTTCCCCCTCATTTACGATTCAATTGAATATCGCATGTAACAATCAAAACAATGCAGAGAAGATGAGAAAGAAAAGGAAACTGGTGAAGAGCTCTGAGCTGCCTCCCAAGGAAGGACGGGCGAGCGGGCATTCAGTTCTCTGGAGCAGAAATGCAAGGACCTGGCCTCTCTTGAGGGTGCAATCTCCTTTTCCATGCCCCCCAAGCCCGCTAAGGAGGCGATATCTCTTGAGCGGCCCCCTCCCTCAATAGTACCTCCTGTTCTCCCTCAACCGTCTTTGCCAAAGGAGGGGAAGAGGGAACCTAGCTTCTCCCAGTCAATTGTTCAGGGTAGTGGCTTCCTCCGTGACCTCGAGACCACTGTGAGTGATCTAGCTGAGCTGATCCTCACGTCGAATCTCGAACTGGCCATGCGAGTTCCCTTTAAGAGAAAGACCAAGCATGACATCCAGAGCCTGACTGAGGTACCTTGTGATTTTCCTTTTTATCTGAGCATTCATCCTGATGTATCTTTGCCTTTCATTTGTATTGATTATTTTCTCTTTCGTCAGTCGTTGGCATGCATGAGAATAATGAAATTTCACCATGATCGGCTCTCGATTTAGTTGTCCGCGAAGGAGCGAGAGTTAGTACAGGCGAGGAACATTGCCAAGTCTATCGAGGCGGGGAAAAACGTTGCTGAAGGGAAGGTGGCTATCCAAGTTGCCAAGGTGGCTGAGCTGAGGAGGATCTATGACGAGCTGAACACTCGCTAATAGGAATCTGCCTAGCTAAAGGATGCCCACTTGAAGATCTGGGATAAAGAGTTAGCATCAAAAAATGCTAAGCTGGTGGGGACAAACATCAAAGTGGCGTTTCTGAAGTCTAAGGTCGCTGAGCTCCTCAAAGAAAATGTTGCTGCCTTCGTAAAAGGGTTCATGAACTTTCAAGAGCAAGTTAAGGATGCATATCCTAACCTCGACTTGGATTCCTTCATGCCATAACTTAGGGCAAAAAAGTTGACGGAGGCAACTATAGAGGCCACTACTGAATCAGTTAGTGCCGGTGAAGGAGCCCTAATTGGGCTTAGGAGAAGGACAAGGAGGCGGTTGGTGCCGAGGTAGTTGGTGCAGACAAGGAGCTCGTTGTTGAGGCGGTTGATAAGAGCAAGGAGCTCGCCGTGTAAATTTCCTTTTGACTGTTGACAAATTTTCATTGTTGAAACAAACTTCTGTACTTGTAATTCTCATTTACATGTATTTTTTCGATTTTAATGAAACTTTAATGTTCTTTCTTGCCTACAAGTTCTTTCTTTCTTACATGTGTATGTCATTGCTTTTTCTTGCTTCTTTTAAAAATAATGGTCAACAAAGCCTATCTTAGGCTATGCTCTGACTTGGTTGTCCCGATCTGGGTTGTCACATTCTTGGTGAGACCAGGGCTGCCCCTTTATTGAGATGGCTTGGGTTGTCGGGGGCTATTTTGCTTGCTGGGGCTATTTTGGACATTTTTTATTCCTTTTCGTGTACTGCAAACTTAACGGTTTCATTCAGTCGGGAACATGTGCCACCGGTGATGATAGTGGCTCCTTAAAAGTAGTGCCTACTTCCTCCACGATGGCCACGTGTCAGTGGTATTAAATGAGACTGAAGCGCATTAATGGATTGCTGCAGTCGTGATTCGTGCTTGCTAGCGGTCCTTATAAATAGTCCCTTCAGTGAACGGATCTTCTACCTTGGTGTTGAAACTTTTCCTTTTTGCTCCTAATATTTGTTTTGAAGTTCTTCTCTGCAAACTTGTTTCATCTTTTGTCTTCATGGCGCAAACACCCACTTCCTATCATGACTCCCAGCAATTGATCTACCCCGAAGTCGAAACTAATGAAATCGATAGTGAGGAGGTTCAAGCAATCGCTAACCACTACGCATTTCCCAGCAAAATGGTCATTCATGCTACGGAACATAACTCATATCACCGTTCCATAAAAGACTGTGTCTAATTTTTTGAAGTCCTTTTCCAACAAGGGCTATAGTTTCCTATCCCTTCTTTTGTGAGGGAAGTGCTGCATTTCTTCAGCTTTTGCCCCGCTATGTTACTTCCAACTGGGTGGGCAATTTTGTTGGTTATCCTTGTGTTGTGGGAACGGATGTTTGCTTGCCCTCGAGCCACCCCTGCAGAGTTTCTCAACTTCTTTCATCCGGTAGAATTGTCTGAATTCTACTACTTTGCCCTGAGACGAGGAAGAGAGATTTCTATCACTGACCTTCCTCTGAGCCTAAAGGGTGGAGGAGGAGGTATTTCTTCATCTCTAGGACGGGTTGAGAATTCGAGCCCCCAAATAATGTCATCAGTAAGAGTTCCTACAATCTGGGGAAGGCGTGGCTACCTTGGTGAGTTTTCTCGGCTCGGTGAGTTTTCCTTTTATTGATCTGCTCTTATTGCGCTTGTCTGCGTTTAACTTGGCTTTTGGCTTTGTTCTTTTGTATTGTAGGTGAGTACCCGAGCTTGACTGGCGAGACACAAGTTCGGGTTAACCACGTTCGAGCTCGGTTGCCCTTTTCTTATATAGAGCTTATGCATCCCGAACTTGCTATGGCCTCGAGCAATCGTGAGTATTTGCTATTCTTTTTATACTACGCCATGTCTATTTAATGTGTTCTGTCGAGCTTACTCCTTAACCATCCTTTCTGTACAGTTCGTGCATATCTAATCAGCTAAAGAGATGCGATTGTGGAGCAAGTGGGTTAGAGGAGGCGAGCCCAGGGCCTAGGACATTTGGCGAAGAGGGCTAGACTTATAGAGGATAGCTCGGCTCCAGCATCAAGCTTAACTGCCGAGGTCGAGGTTCCACCCACTTATCGAGGCATCTATGCCCCCATTACCACTGAGTTTCCTAGTCACGCCTGAGGCGCTACTTGGTGCTGTGAAATGTCGGTGTCTAAACCGACGCCTTGTGCTAAAGAAACACCAATGTCTGAACCGGTGCCCAAGGACAAAGAAACAACGGTAGGGACAATAGCATGCGATCCAGATGACGGGCCAGTTCGGTGTGGTTCCTCCCTGGCTAGTGTAAAGGGCCTCAGCTCGGGTCAGGCAATTTTGGCTCCGTTTGTGGACCTTGAGGGGAGCCTGTTAGACGATGTGACTTTAAGTAGCCGAGCGCTTATAGATTTGATTCCCCAGATAGACCTCTATTGCTCTGTCAACCAACCTTTCAGAGCTAGGAGTCGAGATGCTCTACATGCACTTCTCGAGGTAGGTTCGTCTTTTTTCGTCTTCGACTTCTCATATTTTGATCATGTAATCCCTTAATTTTTGGTTTTGGCCTTAAGCAACGATACATGTCTGTGCCCTCGGAGGGGAGATCCACCATCTGAGGGAGGAGGCTCGTTGGAGGAGTGATGAGCTTGAGGAGGCTCGAAAAAAGGGCATTGTCCTGTGTTGGGGTCTAGCTACAAAGTCTGAGTTAAAGACGACTCTTGATCAGAGAGATTGAATTTTTCGACAATTGATCACCACTACCTCTTCTAAAATCTCTTTGTGGGAACAACTGAGGTCCTAATCAGAAGAATTGACCTCTTTGCAGCAGGACCTCGACGTCCAAATAGAAGAGCTAATCTCCTATCAAACCGACAGGGTAGTGCTGATGGCACAAGTGGATGATTCTCGTGCTGTGATTGCCGAGTTGAAAGATTCCTTAGCTACTGAGTTCTAGTTGGTCAAGGAGCCGCGTAAAGAGATCAAGTAGGCTAGGATGGAGACCGCCAAGGCATTTGTAGATGGGTTCTTTAACTTTGTAGATCAGGAGGTTGAGAAGTTTCCTGACCTTTGTCTAGATCAGTTTGAGCCTCGGTTTGACCTTTCTCCGAGCAGCCCTTTTGGCGCTACTCTGCCAGCCAACCAGCCAACCTTAAAAGCTTTTTACTTCCCCCCCCCCTTTTTTGTTTTTTGAAAAGTCACTCTTCTTACTTACTAAAATGAAGAATACTTAACTTGTTTTTGATGTTGTTGATTGCTTGCTACTAATTGCTTGTTGTGTTCTCCCCTTGCCCCCTCTGCTCTAAGGAGGTCTTGACCTTGTCGGAATATGGTTGTTACTTTAGCTACTCTTTTGCCTCCCATGCTCGATCCACACAATCCCATGCAGTGTAATCGAGTTGTGTATCTAAGGTCTTTAACTTTTCTCAACTCTGCTCAGCTAGTTCCTCCCATTAGTGTAGTACGTCTTTAAATCGAGGTGTACAGGCTCATGTGAAAAGCAATAAATTGGTTATTACTCATGCTTACCTAACTTCACCTAACCTTCACACGCGCCGCCTTCATTAACTTCTACCATGATTGCAAAAGTGTCATAGTCGCTTGTTCACCTTTGCCTGTTATCCACTTCTCTTTATCTTGGAATCTCTTCTTTTTGCATTTTCAATTTTTCTTAAGAGTCCTTTGTGCGTTTTGCTATTTCTTTGGCTTCATGGCTTCCCCTCCTACTCCTTTGTTCAAGCAACGAGCTCAAGCTATGATTGATGTGCCATGGTACTCGGTATTTCTGCTTCCCTTCATTGTTATTGCTCCAAAGGCAGAGGAGTTTAGGAGACGATATCTTTTCCCTGGTGGCTTGGCTATTCGGATTCCCTCACTCGCGACTTTTGAGCTGAAAAGCTCTCTTTCGAACTGAAAAGCCTAGTTGAATTTGCGCGGCTAAAGAGCTCGCGACTCTAGAAAACTATTGGATTCATACTGTGCAAGTTTTTCTTAGCTAGAACTTTGGGAAATTTCATTTATTTGGAGATTGAAAATTTACAACTGATTTAGATTACAAAGGTTCTACTGGTAGTATTGTTTCAGATGATCTGCGTTCCAAGAATGCTGCAAGTCTTTCCCTTCCTTAGTCTACA